TAACTGTAAGACTTCCCTAGGATTCATAATGTGTGCTAATATATTGGTACTTTAGGCATTTGTTTAAAAAAAAACTTCAGTGGTTTGAGGTGGCTTAAAAAGACATAGGCAGATTCAGATACCATTTCCATCAGGTTAATCCCTTTAAATAACAAAAGTCACACAACTGACAGTTGAATTAAGGTTTTAATTTTAGTTAGCAAACTGTATACTTCATGAAATATCACTATGTTTTTGAAAAATCTTATCCTTTATCTTCAAGATCTTGAGAAAGCTTCTACTAGATAAGTAGATAAGCGACTTTTCTGTATGAAACTCTTTAGAAAAGACTCAAGTCAAATGTTATGAAAAATTTGAATTGTACAATGTAAGATTATTAATAACTTTGACACAGTATGAATTTGCACAATTTAAATTTTTCATCAAACGATCACTATTTTGGATTTCAAAAATGCTGTTTTTCTGTTGCCACATGGAGGCACCACTTCAGCTGGTAAACAGGGCTTTCTTCTGATTTCCATGGTCAGAAGGGTCTTCAGCTGTGTGAGGTCTTCAGCAACCTAGTTCTGTCCGAAGCCCACCAGTCTTTTTCACTGCCTGAACAGCACAGCAGGTTGGTTTGTGTACTGACTCCTACGTTTTAGCCACTACAGTGTTTTTATAAAGTCATTTTACTACCTGAGGTTGTTTTCCTGCACGTGCGTGCGTGCATGCGTGTGTGTGTGTGTGTGTGTGTGTGTGTGTGTGTGTGTAGGCATGCACATGCATGTGAATGTGTGTGTGTGTGTGCATGTGTGTGGGGACCAGAGGTTAATCTCAGGTGTTGTTCTTCAGACACCGTTCACCTGTAGGTATGCTCTTTTTTTATTTCTGTTTCGTGAGACACTGTCTCTCATTGCCCAAAAACTTGCCAAGTAGACTAGGTTGAAAGGCCAGAGAAGCCCTGGACTCCCTCCTCTCTGCTCCCTTAGCACTGTAATTACAACTAGGAGCTACCATGCCCAGCTAACATAGTCCTGGGGATCCATCTCTGGTCTTCATGCTTGCAAAGAAGGCACTTTATTGACTGAGCTTGTCTCCCCGGCTCAAATTTTGTTTGTCTTTCATGGAGAAGATTCAAATCCTCTTGACAGTGTGAGAGCTACAAGACCTCCAAGGCTACCTCCTCCTCCTCTCTAGTATTATTCACACATCAGGAAGTGGAGTTGGTGAAGTAAGTGGGCTAGGATAACACAAGGTGGGGAGGGTTGAGTGGGGACTTAGATGTTTCTTCTGAGTCAAGCAGTGTTGGGACATGAAAACGCTAATCACACTTTCAGGAGCTGAGTACACAAGGGCACTAAAGCTGTGCTTGTACATACCAATCAGTGTGAAAGGAAAATATGAGCAGTTCAAGTTTAAACAGTCAGAGAGTAGAGGACCCTGAAGCCAGCGCTCCATGGAAGACAGTTCATTTTGATTATCCACAGGACCAAAGTGCAGATTTCATTAAAAATCAACTTCTGGTTGCCTTCATGAATTTTAAACATTCAGATTGTATTCACTTTTGCAAGTCCCTGGGTCAAATATGGACAATTTTTTTTAAAAAATGACATTTATTAGCTAAAGAAAATAATCATGAACTTCTTACAATAAGTATATGGTTCCTGCTGAGGGTGAGACACTTTGGGAAGGCGTTTCCCTTATGCAAAGCACTGCATGGTTATAGCATGTGAGAGCGAAGAATTTCTCTAATCAAGGGGCTTAAACACTAAAGTCAACTTTTAAAACAAGTATTAGTGGTTGATTACTTCAGTATTCCTCTTAGGTACACAACCTGAAACTTTGCCTCCTCCTCATTGTTTTCTGGATTGAAGTAGAATGAACATTTTCTAGGGAAATAATACAAGAATGTATCCTGCCAATGCTAATTTCTCAGATTCTGTCTACTTTCAGAAATTACAAAAGAAAAAGAAATTACTGTTATATTAATAAAAGAGGAAGAGATATTTACTTACTGGATCTTTGATACTGAGTTTATCGAGTAAAACGACATTAAAGGGTAATCAATGAGCTAATAAGTTGTGCCCACTTTATGTTAATAAACTTGAATTTGCTTCACTTGTGTCTCAGAAGCAATCCATTTGCTAATTTAATCAGTCAGGAGAAACTTTTCTAATTGGCAAGCGATTTTTTTTTTTAAATTGCAGTGTTTGAGAGTTAACTTGCAGTAATATTCACAAGTACAGAGACTTTGATGAGTTACATGCACAGTAAAAGCCTTCTTGGAGTCTTCATGAGTAACATCATATTAGAGGGAGAGAAAGGCTTCCAAGACCCCTTAGATGGTAGACTCTTCATTAGGTAATAGTTCTTAGACTTCCAGGGTCATTCTAGAAGTTGCTGGTAATCTGTGTCCCCTAGGTCAGTCATCCTGAATGACTAGAGTAGATCCCTGAAGTACAGAGGAATATGGTGACCTCTTTGAGGGTCAGATGCTCTTTTGGCTTGCTAAACTATGTTTCCTCATTCTGGGTAAACAACCTAACCCCTAAGCCCTTGACTCTTAAAATGCACATAGCCAGATACATATGAAAAAGCAAGAACAAAGATGCTTAAAAACGGAGCAGAAAAAGTAACTGGAACAGAATGTGGCATTTCCCTTGGTTTGTTACTGACGGCCCACATACAACATGCTTAAAAATACCCACCCTGGCACCTATTTTCATCATCATTTATGATGATGCCAGTGGACATTTAGAATACATGGTATTGAGCAAGTACTCCATCTAGGGAGAAAGGGAAAAGGGCTTCCTCAAGCAAGGCTGGGCTCCCTGTGGCTCCCCGATTAAAGTTCATGTTGTATAATTGGACTTTTCTTACTGACCAGGTTTTGAAATAATATTTTAAATTTTTTTCCAGTATCCCAAAGCCAATAACATTTCTTTTTTATGAGGAAAATAATGACAAGCAGGACTCCTTAAGGGAAGTCTGGATTTAAGGAGACAAAAGACACATGTCAAGAGGAATTTCTTCATCTTCTTTTGACTGAGCCCCATACTTTGTTAAAAATCAGAGACGACTAACTGTTTGACTGTCGCCTTCCAGGTGGCTGTCTTCTGAGCATTGTTCTGGTTACAACTTTTTAGACACATTTTGAAGTTTGGAGAGCTGACTACTCCACTATAATCCAGAACTCCAACAAACTCACGAGTCCAAAGCCAGTCAAGCAGGCTACGAACTGTGCTTTGACGCTTCTTTCTGTCAATAAACACTGGGCTTCGTAACTGCTGTCATGAAGTTTACGGATTTTCATGATAACACAGCGGAGTTGCAAAAAGTAATTGCGGCTAGCTGAAAGTGACAAACTGACCAATCATGGGATGCATTTATTCACTGCTCTAATAAAACCCACAGTCATGGAGCCTCCACCCCCAGCTTTCCTTACACTCGGTTTTTGAATGTTGTACTGTAGGCATTTCATCCTTTTCCCCAATCTAAAAATAAAATGTATTCCATGGGGCATCTGTATCGTTTCTTTGGTCTCTACTTATGTAGGACTCTGCCGCTTCACTGCTAGCCGTTAGTTCTGTCGTGCACACCTGGCCACACTACACCATTATAATATATGCAGTCAGGCTTTGGAGAATTTATTTCAATTTACATACAATCTTCCAAATCCTCTGGCGAGCTTGATGTGTGATCTGACACTACCTCTTCTCCCCAGCAGGCTCTTCCTTTGCTCTTGATGCTAACAGCCTAAGGCTCCAGAGAGGTCCCTCTGGGGAACCGCAGTGGGGCTAAGGAGTCGGAAGAGGGGTGACTGCCGGGCTTGTTGCGCGGAAGATTTACAATGTACTCTTGCAGGCAGTTCAGCAACCCCCTCTGTGGCTGTGGGTGTCTGGTGTGACAGAGCGGAGAAAAGCTTCTCTAATCTCCCAGCGCCTGCCTCTGCCGCTCAACCTCTCCCCTCCCTCCCGCCTTCCCAGCCTTCTTGCTTGCTGTCTCTCTCGCTCGCTCTCTCTGCTTTCTCAGGGAGTTTTAGTCCCTGAACGCTGCTGGAGTAGCTTTGGCAATCTAGACCCGGAGCCCGTGTACACACACACATACCCGCACACACCCGCGCACACACGCGCGCACACATGCACACGCGCTGACACACACGCACTTCGGTTCTCCCCCCCCCCGGGGGACACGGCTCAGACCTTCATCTACCTGAAGTGGATGCCCCGGCGGGACACTTCTTCACTTGTCTTCTCCGGAGGGCAGAGGAACAACATCGGAACGCGGGAGGCTCGCTGTCCAGTCCGCAACCTCACGCCTTTTACCGCCACCACTGCTTAAAGTGTCCAAGGTGGAGAAGGCTTCTCCAGGACGGATGCTCCGCGGCCGTGGGACTTCCTCCGGCTGGCTCACTCCAGTCCTTCCCTCCGTCCTCTGGTCCATCCTCTCCTCTCCCGCTGCGGGGTGGAAGGCTCCGGCGCCTTCCGGGCTGCCACCGCCGCAACTGTCTTTGCGAGCACATCCCACCCAGAAGAGCAAACGCTGCCGGAGTGCGGGGAGCTGGGCGAAGCCCTAACTTGCCTGCCTGCTCGGTCGCTCTCCGTCCTCCCGGCCGAGGGCCGGTGCGAGAGTCGCCGCAACCAGCCTGGGAGAGTGCGGCGCCCGGGAGGACACGCGAGCCGCAGGCGCGCAGGGGCGGGGGCGGCGTGTGCCCGGGCACCCGGTGCCAGCCCAACGAGTAGCGCGCACCCTGCGAGCGAGCGACAAGCTCCCCAAGTTGGGCGCGTCCCAGAGCTGATTGCCCCGCGTTCCGCCGCTGGTGTCCGGAGAGAGGCGGGGCTGCTGGGGGGTCGTCGCGGGCCGTCGCCGGCCACCAGAGCCTGTCTCCGGAGAACCCGGGCTGGCCTCCCTAGGGTCCCAGCCGGCGTTGCGCCCTCCGCCCGCGTGCGCTCTCCGATGACTGCGCTGGCGGTGGCCCGGGTGGCCCGCCCGCTGGGGGTGTCGGAGGGGGCGGGGGAAGAGGAGGAGGCGGTGTGATGGCCCTGGACGGCGAGAGGGGGGAGCAAGAGGAGGAGAAGAAAAAGAAGAAGAAGAAAAAGAAGAGGAAGAAGAAGGAGGAGGAGGGGGCCGAGAAGAGCAGCTCACCCTTTGCAGCCACCATGGGAGAAGACGATGCCGCCGCCGCGCTCCGGGCAAGCGGCAGGGGGCTCTCGGACCCGTGGGCTGACTCGGTGGGAGTGCGACCCCGCACCACCGAGCGCCACATCGCGGTACACAAGCGGCTCGTGCTGGCCTTTGCCGTGTCCATCGTGGCACTCCTGGCGGTCACCATGCTGGCGGTACTGCTCAGCCTGCGCTTCGACGAGTGTGGAGCCAGCGCGGCGGTGCCGGGCTCCGACGGTGGCCCCGGGGGCTTCCCTGAGCGCGGCGGCGGCGGCGGCGGCGGCGGCGGCGGCGGGGGCAACAACAGCCACCCAGGATCCGCCCGGCGCAACCACCACCACGCTGGTGGGGAATCCTCGCAGCGCGAGACCGGCGAGGTGGACACCCCGGGGACCCCGTCTACCCTACCGCCGTCGGAGGAAGAGAGGGAGCAGTGGCAGCCTTGGACGCAGCTGCGCCTATCCGGCCACCTCAAGCCCCTGCACTACAATTTGATGCTCACCGCCTTCATGGAGAACTTCACCTTCTCCGGGGAGGTCAACGTGGAGATCGCGTGCCGGAACGCCACCCGCTACGTGGTGCTGCACGCCTCCCGGGTGGCGGTGGAGAAGGTGCAAGTGGCGGAGGACCGGGCGTTCGGGGCTGTCCCGGTAGCCGGCTTTTTCCTCTACCCACAAACCCAGGTCTTGGTGGTGGTGCTGAACAGAACCCTGGACGCGCAGAGGAATTACAACCTAAAGATTATCTACAATGCCCTGATAGAGAACGAGCTTCTCGGCTTCTTCCGCAGCTCCTACGTGCTCCACGGGGAGAGAAGGTATGGAGGGAGGCGGTGCCCCGCGCTGCCCCACCCCGCCAGGCGGCTCGCACTGCTGAGAAAGCGCAGGCGACCTGGGGACCCCGTTGGCTTCCAATATCTAGAAACCCGGGGTTGGGGGAAGGAAGTCAAGGTGAGGGTCCTCTGGAACCCTAGGGGTCTTCCTGATGTCTAGCCTCTCACTGTTGCCAAGTCCACAAACTCAGCAATACTAAAAGATGATGAATGTTGCCCTTTCCTGTAGTTCGAATCTTGCTCCTCTTGACCTGCCCATTTGGGCTTTTGCCGTTTTCCCCTTAAGATTGCTGGTTATCTAAGTTAAAAAGAAAATCACCACCACCACTACCACCACCACTACCACCACCACCAACAAAACCAACAACTTTGAGCAGGTAGCAGCTTAACCCAGCTATCAGGCCAGGACAGACACGCCCCCTCCCCTGAACAGGTGCACCTCCCTTGGCTGTGAATAAGTATCTCTCTGTCCTCCTGGGAGACCCAGAACACAGCCCCGGGTTTGGCTTTGTGAAGTTTTACCAAATTGCAAGTTGAGATTTTGAATCACAAAGAGAAGTTCGAGGGGAAAACAGGACGGGGAGGCTGGGACCTGGAACTGCAGTTGCCATGGTCAAAATCACAGAGAGAGGGACTTCTAAGGCACTGTGATGGCTCCCGGAGGGCTCCTGTCTCCATTAGGTTCCTCAGCTGCTGCCAATAGAAATGACTACACCCAGAAGGGAGAGAAAGCTAGGAGCCAGTCTCCAGTGCCTTTGCTGACTTTAGATGTGGGTTACATTCTCTTTGTTTTTGTGAGGCGGGGGCTTTCTTTAGAACAAGCAACTCTGTGTCCAGATCTTCATAGTTCTAATAGCTGTGGGAAGAGTTTGAGGAAAGGGTCGAAGTTGACAGTGCTTGGCAATGATTGACAGCTGCTCCTAGCGTTGATTGTGCACTCCCGGTGAACTAAGTTTCACCAGATCCCTATGGGGTTCATGTAGCTGTCAGTGCTCTCTGTGTTACAGGTGGGAAAACGGAGGAGCAGCAAAGTCATAGCTTGACTTAGATCACAAAGTGAGACCTAGATAATTTGGCCCCAGAGCTCATATTTTAAAGTCTAACTTGGTGATAATAATAGTCCCACTCTCCATTATAGGATCGATCAATATGGCCTTGAAAAGCACTTCACCCAAGGCCAGGTCTGTCCTATAGTGCTTCAAAGTTCAAATGAGTGTCCTGTGGTCAGCTTCCACCTATACTGTTGAATGAATGTATGAATGAGTCTTGTTTTTCATTGCATTTCAAGTAACTTCAATTAATTAAATGACTGTAGGGCAGATGAACTGTCAGAGTGAACTAGTAAATGAAATCGTTACCTATAGGTAGACTGGTCATTAGTAAGTAATGAGGCAGAGCCTCCTCTTTCCTCAGTGAGCCTCCTAACATCAGGACACTAGGGCTCAGCCCAGCACAGGGCACCTGAGGTCAACGGGCTGTCAACCGAGAACCGGAACTTGAACTTTGGTTTGCCCAGCCAGCCCTGGACCAGAGCTCCTGGTGCTTGGAAACTCTCAGAAACAGTTACTGTATTAGAGACTGGGGAAATCTCCCTGTAGTGTGGAAGTGTACCAAAGTTTTATCATTTGTAGACTGCTGTGAAGGGAACGCCACAGAAAGGACTCCCTATGTTAGCAGCTGCGTGGTAGGTACAACTCTCTATACGTCAATACATAAATTATTCATTTTCTAACACCCAAGATCTGGATGGATAGTTTAAACCCTTCTCCACCACTATCTCTAGCACAGATTACAGCTTAAAAACATTTTTCTTTAAAGCCCACAATGATATAAAATGTGCAGTAAAGGCACAGGAAGCAGATTTGCATGTTATGCTTGGAAACAGGTTCATCATGTTGAAGTGTCAATAGAGAGAGTTGCACATCCTCACCGATAGATACATCTTACTGTGATGAGAAAAAAAGACAAACTCCCTCTCAGATTCTGTGTTTTTTTTTCTTAAGCCATGCCAAGATGTATTTGGCAGAACTCAGCTTGTTTTGGTCAGTGCTTTCAAATTAAGAGGACTCTAAAAGCGACCAGATGTTTCCACTTGCCCTGTCACGGATTTCTTGTACCCACAGTCCATGTTTGTATTCAGACTTCTTTCTTTGGTTTTCCCTAGAGATGTAAATACTTTGGCTGGAAGTTTAACCTGATGCACACATGCTTTCCAACAGAAATACAGGATTCAATGTTTGGGAAATCCCAGGATGGATTTATTTCTAAATACCATCTTAGAGAAAGTTTTTATCCCAACAGCAATGTGAATTCCTGGCTTTTATGTCTGGAGTAGAGAAGGCAAAAATAATCTATTAATTTCATAAGTATACCAACATTCCATACATTAGCTTTTGTTGTTCTTGTTACTATAGTTACTTAGAGGATTTAAAGCTGACCAATATTAGGAACTCAGCCAAGGCTGGCCTTTTATTGATAATGATTTTGTACTAAAAATTCAATGTAAATTGGCATTTAAAAGCCCACTTTCTAAAAGGACACAGATGCAAACAGAATTTTCATTTGATTAATGATTGCATATCTTGATCTTTAGTTAATCATCATTTTTGCCAATTTAATTATAGGATAATTTCTGTAATGAAAACAAATATTTAATCAGCCAACAGTAGTTACACTTAATAACTTGAAATACTTAGAAGAGCCACCCACCCCACAGCTTCCTTACTTTGTTTAGCCTGTTGGAAGCAGTAGTTCATCACTATCTGATCAGTCTCATTCTTTGTCTCCTTTCTCAGAGACCCAGGAGAAGGAATTTCCTTTTCATTTGTTTTCTTGAGAAAGAGTCTCAGGACAAAGGAAAGACTGGCCTGCAGCTCATGGTCTTCCTGCCTAACACTCCTGAGTGATGACTTTTTAGGTGTTCACCAACCTCCCCAGCAGTAAGAAAAAACTTCAGCGAGGGAAGATTAGCCTGTGTGCTGTGCTGTGCTGTGTACCTTTGACCTGGAAAATTTTAACCTCCACTATGTGTTGAGGAGCACCCGGGTCTGCCCTGCAGGGAAGACTGTGTTTCCCACATGGTAGACAAACTTCTCAATGAAACCCAAGATCCCTTAATCATGGGCATATCTTCCATTCTTACTTATTCAGTTGGTTAGAAGAAAGCCTGTCACTTGTTGAATACTGGAAAGAGCAACTTACCTTAAAATTAAGATGTTTGCACACATATAATAAATTATCACCTTTTGTCAGAACGCATACTTACTCTTTCCCAAGTAGATGTGCAGCAGGCAGATAAAAGGGGTGTGTATTTATGCCATTGTCTCGTATAGGAGAATACACTTGCTTAGAATTAGGCAAAATGTTCATTTACCTGAAGTAATTGCCGCTTTTGGGTAGCCAGATGGTGTGCACACCCATGTTCAAAGTAGGGTACCTTAATTTAGATCCAGATGGTCGAATTGAAGGCGGAAATTTACCCCAAGTAAATGAACATTTTATTCACTTTTGGAAAGGAGACTATTTTTCTTTGACAAACTTTGATTGGGTCTATAACATGCCAAAGTGACAGAAGACAGAATAAAAATAGACATTCTTTTTCTATAAAGGATTGTTTACAGAGAAGCCATGATCTCTGAAGAAATGAAGAAATAATTCTGCGGTTCTCAAAGGGAATTGGGGGCCATTCTTTTACCAAAATCTGTGGAATATGATGGATTTTGTTTCTTGGTGGCAGATACTCCTTTGTGATTTTATTGTACATAGTTTGATGCTCTGTATTTTTTTAATTAACAACTAATCATGATATTAGTAAATGACAGGAAGCCCAGGACATTGTTTTGATGTTGAAGAAGCCTCATTCCTCCTGCTCACTTTGGTGAGTTTCACATGAGTAAATGGGAATATATATGACCCTTTCTCCCTCTCTAGAAGTCTGCAGGCTGAAAAAAATCCAGAGGACATTTATTTATTTACTTGCTGAGAAACCATTTTTATATGCTTCCTTGATAGATTTGGCTCAGTGTTTTCCTGTCAGACACATATAGCCATTTGGTAAAACCGAGTCCAGTACTGCATTTTGGTCATAGTTCAACAACAATAACAAAAGCCGTGGTCATTAAATAATGATTCATTCTGGTAGAAAAGTTCTCACCACTGGTCCCCATCTTGTGGCATTTTATTTTCAATCATTTATTTATTTTTTTTATAGTACCATCTCATTTGAACACCTTGGATAGTGAGAGAGTACCCAGTTCCTTTGAAAAAGTTGTTAGTTGGAGTGTGTTTTTATGTATTCAGTGCAACTTGGGACAGATCCTATCTGCTGTGGATGTCTCTCAAATGAAAATGGATCTGTTATTGACTTTCCCAGTATATTCTAGGTTTGTACAATGTGTTGTTTCCCTAAACTAATTTTTCCTACTGTATGTGGATAGACTTGAGGCAACGGTACAGCTTTACTGAGGTTGGTCGATATCATGACAAGAACAGGACTCATCACGTCAAATATGGTTTCAAAGAATAATACAAAAACAATAAGGAACAAATAATTCACTTTTAAAACATAAATGCTCCACAGCCTGCAAGCCAGGCCATCACTCCTTGTCCTTAATGTTCACCCCATTCTCAGCAACAATACTCCTCATTGCTATCAACATAACCATTTCTGCCATTCCCATCACCACCATCACATTGTTATTATTCTCTTAATTTCCTGCATGTTCTTTAATATGTCCAGATCTACAACAATGCCTCCTTTTCTTTTTTTTTTGTTAGTTCTTCAAAGCTCTCTGCCATCTTTTCATCTCTGGAAAGTGGGTGCTCCTGTCACTGATGGAGTTTTGCTAGGCCGGCATCGGTGACAATTTGAGGATGAAAGTGTGCTCCCTGTTCTTCCTGATTTTCCAGACACTCTTAGAAGGTTCAGGAACAAGCACAGTTTGATGATGGTGACAGCTGTAGGGTGTAGTGAGGGGCTGGGTGGG